TCCAAATCTCCCAACTCAGCATAATCGCCTCCTGCAACATTTGCTTATCGCTGCTACTGTTGACAAGTTGAAACCAATCTATTAAATCTACAGCAATTCCATTTCAGCCAACTGATGATAGCATCCAACACTCCTTCGTAAAAGGACACAGTATCAAGCAATGCAACATAATTTTCACCTCACCATTACAAATAGGGCATCGACTGTCAACCTCAACACGCTTCGAAGCTATAGAAAAACAAACATGCAAAATATTTGATAACGCCCTCCAAAAGAAATTTAGGATTTATGGTGGAACATTTAGAGACCGAACCCGCTTCTAAACCTATTGCGATATAGAATTTAAAGCTCTATCATGATTATAAAATATTTGATACCCTTGTTGGTAAAAAAATAACATCCATTTATCTTCTTGCATTATGAGATTGAGAGCGATCCTCTTAATCAAGTCTATCTCAGTGGTGGTAAAAGCCCTTTCAGAACCTCCATGTCCAATTCTCTCCTCATACCTAACATCAAATCCGCAACACAAACTGCATCCATACCAGATGTATTAGGTGAAGCCATGGGTCATGAAATGCCAAAGTAGATTGACTATTACTAATGTGTTTCATACACCCCTGTTTAAGAAGAAACTGACCATTACAGATTGATCTCCATAGATAGCTTGGATTTTTACCAACTTCAACATGCAAAAAATCAGTTACGAGTTAGTATCGGGCTTTATATAGTCTTGTGACCAAAGCTTGAGGTTGATTCAATAGATTTTAGCCTGTCTTTGCCAAGAGAGTTGTATTAAAGTGACATAACGAACAGAAGCCTATCCCACCGTCTTCTTTTCGCCAACAGAGATTACGCTAGGAGAACCAATGAATACCAGTGCCACCATTCTCACCATTACGCCACCAAAAACGATTCATAGCCTTCTCTACTATATCACATATCTGCCTTGGAAGCAAAAACATTGTCATAAGGTCATTCAGTACTTCTTGAATCATCATTTTAAGTAGAATCTCTTTTCCAGCACGTGATAGGATTGATTGTTTCCAACTTGATAATCTCTTGTAAACCTTATCTTGTATATTAGCAAAGACTTTAGTTTTATTTCTTCCCATAACAAATGGAAGCCCTAGATACTGTCCTAAGCTAAAGACTACTTTTACTCCGAACAACTTGCCATTAAAGTATTATTGCTAAAATAGATTTTCGATTTATGGAAATTTACTTGCTGCCTGGATGCCTTCTGGTATAGCATTAAACAATGCCTAATAACATAAGCTTCAACTGCTAATGCTTTGAAAAAGTAGAAGCATCATCAATGAAAAAAAAGATGTCAAATAGAGGGTGCTATACGGTTTAATTTACATGCCGCGTCTTTCAAATGATTTGAGCAAAGCCTATAAACCCTCAACCACAAATAAGAATAGATATGGTGATAAAGGATCACCTTTGCACAGCCCACAGGTTGGAATAATAGGACCAAATTGCTTACCACCATGATTAATATGATAAACAACCGTAGAAACCAGTCGCATAATTTTTGCAACCCACTCCGTACAAAAACCCAACTTTAACATCATCTCCTCCAAAAAATCCCATTCAACCCTATCGTATGCTTTACTCATATCAGTTTTAAGGCACAAAACCATTTATACCCTGCGTTTTCCTTTTTAAGTAGTGAATAACTTCAAACGCAATCATAACATTATTTATTATAAATCTACCTGGGATGAAAGCACTCTGAACATCAGAAATAGCCACAGCCATACAACCCCACATTCTGTTATCCATCACCTTACATACAATCTGCAATGTAATTGAGCCTCAGATCCAAAACTAATTCTAGTTCCTTCTTCGTTGATATGAGAATTATATTAGTTACATTGTTGCCAGGAGCCATCTTGTTATTATTTAAACAATCCAAAACAACATTACTAATATCAATACCTACAACTGACCAGAAGGATTGATAAAAACCTGGATTAAGATCATCTTGCCTAGGTGCTTTATCAAGATACATAGTAAACACTGCTTTTTGGACCTCCTCTATTATAAACAGTTGGCATTTAATCTCTAATGATATCTTCGTTTTCACACATTCCAAAACTGTCTCCATCTGTCCCTGTTGCGAAATGAACACTGCGCGAAAATAATCCATAATTAGGCACTCCAAACCTGAATCCCACATTAGCCACTGCCCATCTGCATTTCGCAACTGTAAAATACTCTTTTTTTTTTCGCCTTACTGACGCCATCATATGAAAGAACCGAGTGTTATTATCGCCATCTTTAAGTCAATGCTGCTTGGCTCATTGCTTTCAATATAGATCTTATTGTTTTAGTATCTCAATATATGCTGCTTTGGCCATTCAATAAAGCTGAATATCTATTGGGTGTCGACTGCACCTGTAGCGTGCCATTTGAGCTTTACTTTCATGTAATCGATCCTTAAACTGTGCCTTCTTTTTTTTACCCCATTCAATGAGATACTCACCACAAAACTAAATTTGATGATCTATTCCAACCTTTTACCTTTATCCCATGCTTCCTTAACTGTCGTAAATGATTCATATGTGGCTTCAAAGTTAGGGCAATTTCATTATTTTAATTAACATAATAGAACTTTGAATTTAGAAATAAAAGGGCCCAAAAAATAAAAAATCAGCGGGCCCAATTTTTAAGTGGTCCAAATTTAAAAAAAGGCCAACATTTTATGGAAAAACCTAGAAATTGAATCGAACCGATTTATAACTGGTTCGATTAACCTATTTCAGCCAGTTTTTATTCGGTTTCTACCAGTTCAGGCTGGTTTTTTAGACATTTGAATTTCTTGTGCAACTCAGACTGGACCACAGTCCGGTTCCCTGTCGAACTTGTCAAATTGGTCAATTCGGTCCGATTTTCAAAACAATAGTGTTGCAATAGAATTTTAAATTGCAATTACAATTAAAATTGCAAATTAAAAATACTTTAATATGTAATTCACTCCTGACTTTAGGTTAACTTAATCCAAGCTTCCTCGTTCATGTAAATTTATTAAGTTTAATTGTTGTCTTGAACAAATAATATTTTTCCATTCTATAATTATAAATTATAATTGTTGTCCTCATTATAATTATATACTCTTTTCGTTCTATTTATATAGAAAAAGTTAAAATTTCTATAGGATTAATAAGGTTGATTTTTTTGTGAATTTTTCCTAATTTATCCTTGAAAAGAGAATTAAGTGGTTCCCATATTTCAATAAAAGAGTGACAGAGGATAAGAGAGAGAAGGAGAAGTTACTTAAACGAGAAGGTTTATTTGCTTCAAATTCCAAAAAAAAAAAAATGTGGGCTCCACATTCATGTAAGAATATTCACATATTTTTTCTATAAGTGTGTACTAACTATTCTATATGTTTGCAATACTTTAACTCGTTGTAAGGTAAAGTTGTTTATAGAAATTAAATTGTAAGTGTGCACAGCTATTAATATGTGCAAATATTTTGTTATAGAAGTTTGCAAACTATCTTGCAAATTTGAGCAAAAATCAATTATATTTTGTGGTTATATCTTTTTTTTTTCTTTTTTTTTTTTTTTTTTTTGTGCAAAATATTTTGTTATAGAAATGTTTGCAAACTATCTTGCCAAATTTGAGCAAAAAATCAAATTATATTTGTGGTTATATCTTTTTTTTTTTTTCTTTTTTTTTTTTTTTTTTTTTGCTTTTAACCATCCCGCACTAATTTTTTTTTTTTTTTTTTTTTTTTTTTTTTTTGCTTTTAACCATCCGCACTAATTTAGATTCGCGCCGGACAAGCCCATAAACAAGTCAAAGTGCTCCCTTCCGAGTGTTTAAAGAGACTTCATACTCAAGGCTCGAACCCAAGACCTTTGATTAAGAGAAAAGGGATTCTGTTATCCCATCCCATCTCTCTAAAGTATTTTCCGATTATTTCATTAATAAAACAAATAAAACATGATTAAATTAACACAAACACAAGAGTTATTTTTGCAATTTCTATTTAAAAACACCATTATACAACTGCATTAACACTTTAAAAGGGCACTAAACATAATTTAAGTTGTCTCTCTCTCCTTAACCATTTAAGAAGTTGATCGGAGAGAATATAAATGGGCACAACAATTTTTAATTAAACACTAGAAATTTCCCTTCGTTCTAGAGTTATTAGAGTTGCATGTAAATCTCATTATACGTGCACACTTAATTATTAAGTGTAGGCAGAAATTGTGTACATAATTCAAACTATTCTTACAAATTCAAAAATTTAATTTGTGCACATAATGTGAAGAAGTCCTCATTTTCTTATAACACGATATAATCTGTTTTGGAACATTAATTACCCAACCACAATAATATTTGCATTTTCTTGAAATTCTCCCAAGGTTAATGTTTAAACTAAAACCAAAATAAAAGTATATTGGACTTCTTGCGCATTAGTCCGAAAGTTACCATTTTATACAATTTTCTCTATATAAAAGAATGTCATAAAAGGAAATTTTTTATATATAAATGGAATGAAGAGAGTATTATATTTTATTTTGACAAAAAAAAATCATTAACAATTTCAATAGTTTATGATTCAAATCATACAATAGTAGTTTCATTTTTTATATTTTATAATTATTTGAAAAATTTACCTTAAAATTAAACAATAATAATTATTAGTTCATTGTTTAAAGAGTAATCTAATTCTTTTTAATGCGGATGCATTAAAGAAATAATTTAAAAATATTAAAATATAATAATATAGATTTTTTTTTTACTATTATTTCAATTTCCTTTACTCACTTAAATGTATTAACCTAATTTTAAAATTAAAAGTAAACTCTATAGTAATGTATTTTTGTTATAATTTAAGTTCTAAATAGTAATTTAAGATGCTATTGTAGTAGAAAGTTAAGGGTGTAATTAATATTAATATAAAAGTAAAATTAGAGTGAAATTACATTAGATCGGAGAATTAAACGTATTTGGCGCAAATGATTCGTAGCCTAACGGCAAGAGTGATGCTTTCGACCTTTCTAGATCCCTGTCCAATCCCTGACAATGTAAATGTCTTCGATTGGTATCTTCCCCTTATTGGGTTGTACTGTACAGGTGGTGGACTTCATTTTTTTTGTTTGAAAGATCAAGTTCGGTTCGGGTCTCTGAGCCGGGTCCTGCCGGGTATTTGATAACACTCTTCCCTGGCTATCAAATCTGCCCTCTTCTCTATCTGCTTCTCCCTGCCTCTCTCTCACTCCCTCCCCCATGGCAACAATAAACAAACAACTAAAACTCAAGCCTAAACAAACGTCTCCAATCCAAAACTTTCTGATCTGTATAGCTTTAATTGCATTTTTATTCCTTTTTTCTTCTCTAATTTTAACAAATGGTCCTTCTAAAATCCGAAACTCGATGAGATCCATGAAACCCAAGAGGCTACATTCTCTCCATGACAAGTACTTGTATTGGGGAAACAGAATTGACTGCCCTGGTAAGCATTGCGAGTCTTGCGAGGGTCTGGGCCACCAGGAGTCTAGCCTAAGGTGTGCCCTTGAAGAGGCTATGTTTTTAAACAGGTACCTACCTTTATATGCATTACTTCAGTTTGTCTTTGTTTTTACGTTGTTTGGTGAATTTTTGTGTTGTTGTTTATTTTAGTTACATGTTCTGCTTGGATTCTAGGAAAATTGTGGTAAGTGGATTTGGATTTTTAGTTATTTTTTCTTTCCAGATTTGAACCCGTTTTTGTACTATTACTAGTTGCTTAGTTGGGTTGATTCTTTTTTTTTTTTTTTTTTTTTTTTTAGTTGCTTAGTTGGGGGTGATTTTTTTTTTTTTTTTTTTTTTTTTTTTTTTTTTTTTTTTTTTTTAAATTCACTGCAAGTAATTTCCGATTAATTTTTCCGCTGCAATATGGGAAATTCGTAATTTAATTCAAAATAATTTACTTTTGGAAAATAAGGAGATCCCGATTTTTTTTTTTTTTTTTTTTTTTTTTTAAATTCACTGCAATATGTAATTTCCGATTAATTTTCGCTGCAATATGGAAATTCTGTATTTATTCAAAATATTTACTTTTGGAATAAGGAGATCCCGATTTTGGAATGTGACCTCTTTTTCAGTTTTTTTTGGAGATTAAATTGGTTATGTATCTGTATGTATATTCGAATTTTTTGTTTTTTAAAATCATATCTGTATTGAGAGCAGAAAATAAAATTAATATGAATGTTTCTAGTTAATTGGAGAAGCACCTATTTAGGACTTAATTTTGACAGTCTATAAGATGAATTTATGTATTCCATTCAGTTAAAAAAATGTTTCATTCTTGCTTTCAGCTCTTTGCTTCTTGATTTTTATCATGGGATTTCCTTTGTTTAGATATGCTATAGATGTATCAAATTTATGATGATACACTGGTAAGTAGTACATTCTAATTGAGTGTATTAGCATATTCCATCTCCACATGATTGAATGCAAATTCAACACCCTAATATATCACTATGTGTTCTTACATTTTCTTTGTCAATAAGCTTATCTCAATTTAATCAACTAATCCTTGATCCCAATCCAGGTGGTGTCTGATAAATGGATCTTTTCCTCTATTCTACATGGTTTAGCATCACACCTACGAAAAAACAGTCGGGTCCCTTTATACCTTATTTGATGTTTCTCTTTCAGTTTTTGTTATCTTCTTGCAGGACTTTTGTGATGCCTTCCTCAATGTGTATCAGTCCACTACACAATAAGAAGGGGATCCTATATCATTCTAATATGGCAAGTTCAGAGGAAAGGTATGCTTATTTAAGATCTCTCTTGAACATTATCTACTAGAAAATGAAAGTGTTATTCCAAAAACTACAAAGTACAGCATATAGAGCATTAACTCCAACATTGTATTCGTTCCAATACATGTTTGTATTATTCTTCACTTGCAACAATTTACTCTTTAGCTATAAGATTACCGTTTCTAATGACTTCTTGTTTTCGATAGCAGCTGTTCCATTGTTTATATTTGCATCTGTATAGATAAGAAACACAAGTGTTTTAACTATATTATTACATTCATCTTTAATTGATAGTCAAATAGAAATGTCAACTGTATAATCAAAACTTATGCATTTTATTTGGTAGGTGGGCTGCAAATTCTTGTTCCATGGACTCTTTGTATGATCTCGATCTCATATCTGAAACTGTACCTGTAATTTTAGACAATTCAAAAGTCTGGCATCATGTATTATCAACAAGTATGAAGTTGGGAGCTAGAGGAGTTGCCCATGTTGAAGGAGTTAGTCGGGTTGATCTCAAAGAGGACAATCGCTACTCAAATCTCTTGCTCATAAATCGAACAGCAAGCCCTCTTTCATGGTATCTTAGTTTAATTATCATGTTGATTTCTTCTTGCTTTTTCATGTTGAAGTTGAGAAGAAAAAGTAGTAACTGCGTGATTAAGAATCATTTAAAGTTGGGAGCAATCTTGGTGAAAATGGTCGACATTATTAATTTTGATTAGAATTTGAAGAAACATCGTTTGGTTATAAATAATCAAAACGTTGCTAGTATAATTCCTGAAGTGGGCAGATAATTGTTACTTTTTTCTTGTTGTCTGTTTTATATAAATATTTCATGAAGTTTTGAATGGCACGGTCTTAATGAGAAGATTGGGTATAATTGTTTTTTCCAAGTGGTTTATAGGAAGTTTCATATTTCTAGTTGTTTTATTCATTGTTTTAAAATACATTTGATTCTATGTTTTATATGTTTAAATGAAGCATTCTAATATGATGTTGAATATAATGAGTCAAAATTGCAGTTGACAGTTTCATTCAGAAGGGGGAAGGAACTTTTTTTTTTTAAAAAAAAACTTCAGGTGGGGGGAGAAAAATATTATGGGAGATTGGTTATTATTTATGCAGCTATTTGTCACAAAGTACTTTTCCTTACATTTCAGATTAAGATTATCCTATCTTGCAAGTTTCTGTAAGGTACTAATCATGGTGGTCATTCAGGTTCATGGAATGCAAGGACCGAAACAACCGTAGTGCTATATTGTTGTCATATTCATTTCTTCCTTCAATGGCAGCAGAGAAATTAAGAGATGCAGCAGAGGAGGTCTGTGACATTTTAAATTTTTGACCTTTTAAATCACCATATAAAAAAGTGTCTGGCCGTGCGACATTTAATGTGTAAGGAGTTATTTAGCCATGCAGATGCCTTTTTTTTCCCCAAAATTTACTGCTGAAATATAGTTCTCAAGACGAAATTATAAGAATTTTATCTAATAATATGATTTTAACTGGAGATGAACTGGGGACGTTACACGTCTCTGCTTCCAAAACATGGCATTCGGGAAATGAAGTCAAAAGGAGGGGGGGGAATAATTTTTCATTGGTCCAAATTATTATAATGACCTTCACACCAATTTGGGGTGATATGTTGAGGTGGGCCCAGAGACTACAATCCTCCCAAAATTTTCTCCGCCTCATTTTCACTAGTTTCACAAATAAGTGAAAGTGAGAATATTCCATTATTTTCTCCTACCCTTCTTTACCCCCATTCACTTTCCCCCTTCCTGGACAGTGTAAATGAAAAGTATTTGATACTAACCTGTAAAATAGTTAATAAGTAACTTATGAATTGTTTGTTGAAGTGGCTTGAGGGCAAGGCTGGAGCCATTACAGTTAATAGTTGGAAGCATATTCCACTATGCATCATTGACTGCTTGTATGTGGGAGCCCCATACTGATAACACCATCCTTTGATGTACCATGGTGTTCAGTGGAAATGGAATCAGATTTGTCAAGCCAACTTCAAGTAGTTGGCAAAGCAACATTTTAATTTTTTTGAACCATTCTAAAGTATGTTCAAGGTATATAAAGTTTGCCAAACAATTACATTTCTCAAAATTCACTGGTTCACAGGTCACTACACAGTACAGGTTGTAATAAACAACTAATATTTGTGAGTAGTGTTAATATGCAAAGTGTAATTTAGATTTTTCTGTACTTGATTTTGTTGGTTCTCTTACCTTCTCCACATGCAGTAAAGTTCATGATGGAATCTAGTTTCACAAGACAATCTGCTGTTTTTCAACTTCCTGCTAATTGATCACTTCCCTTTTGCTTTGCGTTATTCCAGTTGCTGCAAAGATTTTTGTTGAAAATCTTCTCATGCTAAACTTTCATTAATCTTTACAATCTATTTGTAACTATTTTCATCTACAGATTAAGGCACTTCTTGGCGATTATGATGCCATCCATGTTCGCCGTGGTGATAAAATAAAGACTAGAAAGGACAGGTTTGGTGTTGAACGGACCTTGCATCCTCATCTGGACCGAGATACACGCCCAGAGTTTATTCTCCACAGGATTGAAAAGTGGGTCCCACCTGGAAGAACTCTTTTTATTGCTTCAAATGAGAAGACACCGGGGTTTTTTTCACCTCTCTCTTCCAGGTAAACCTTCTCAAGCATGTATAAGATCCGCATGAATTAGCACTCTAGATTTTATTCATTGCATGACCCTAATCATTTGTTACTTTTTCCAGGATATGGAAATAGGATGAGTGTAGGATACAATACGTACACAATTCTTAAAATTTTAATAACATGTGTATAAGCAATAATACACCAACAAATAAATGCATATTTAAATTCTCAATTTAACTTTTTGTTATTTACACACTCCACTTTCTTACTTTTCATTTGTTAAAAGTGGCAACCATTTTTGGTTTATCTATTGTTATCACCTTTGGGCTCGGGGGATTTTAATTTCTTGATTTGTTGTTGATTCACGTCAGCTTAACAATGCTTTACAAATATGAGGGGCTAATAGGAAAAACTAGTTCGGTGTAGCAAATCTTCTGATTCTCTTTAAATTACAGAAATATATTTTAGTAAAATTTTCCTTTATTTTGAAATTTCAAATAAAATTTGCATTGGTTCTTAATTTTTTTTTTTGCTTTATTGGTGTGTATTGTGTGTTTCCACTTTGTTTAGTGAAGTTCTGATGCTGCTGTGCATTGTCACTTTGGGCCATTTGGAACACTTTTTCCGTTTCTAAGGACTTAAAATGTTAGGTAGCGTTTCACTGTAATTTTTTTTATGTTAAAATTTTGGTACTTGAATTTGCAGATATAAGTTGGCATATTCATCTAATTATAGTCACATCTTGGATCCCTTGATTAAGAATAATTACCAACTATTCATGATTGAGAGGCTTATAATGATGGGTGCCAAAACATTCATTAAATCATTCAAGGAAGATGACAAGGATCTGAGCCTTACTGATGATCCAAAGAAGAACACGAAGATGTGGCAAATACCTGTTTATACAATGGACGAAGAGTGAAGTTGATGGCAATGTAGCTAATTACTCCTCTTTTTGGATGGTATGTTTGTTCATCTATTTATTCTACCATGCGACAGTACCAGTCACCAGTATGGAACATTGAATATTGGAATCTTGTAGCTTCAGCAGAGAATTGGTTCATCAGGTAGAATGAGAGGCTTACTAATTTCACCAATGTTTATGGGGATGAAGGTGAAATACAGGTTTTATCCGCTTTTTTTTTCAAATATATCGATTACTGCACTTGAAAAAAAAAAAAAAAAAAGGAAAGAAAACTTGATGGTATTGGTGAATGGACATTGACAAAAACTATTATTTTGTAGATAAATTATCAGTTAATTGTAATGACATTTGCAAATTTTTTTAATTAATGCGAGTCTGTTAAATTCCACTTATTGCCTATTGCCTAGGGTAACTATCTTTGCTTAATTTCTGTATTTTTGTCCAATGATGGTCATTGACAAAGTAAGTTTATGTACCCTAACCCTAGCAGTAGATGCACTATTTTTTTAGAGTTTTATCGTGGAGTCGCTTAGGATTCTTTGCAGTCTGAAATTGGGTTTGGGTCTGTTCAGCTTGCGCCTATCAGCAATGCCTTCGGGATAGGTTGGATTGGAAAAAGAAAGTTGAGGGAAAGAGGAGAAAAGGGGATGAGAAATATAGTTAAATTCTTAGGGCATTCGAGTTGGTTATATTGAAGTAGTGTCAACCCTCCGTTAGTTATATTGATTTAACTATCATTTACAGCAGTGTCAACCCTCCTATTTACTGTAGGTTTTTTGGAATAATGCTCAATTTCCTTCTGGACTTGGGAGTAACATTCAATTTGTCCAAAAATCAACTTTTGTACAAATTTACCTCTTGAACTTGCACCAAAAGAACACAAATTGAATATTGCTCTCAAATTGAGAGGGCAAATTGAATTTTATTCCTAGTTTTTTTTAGGAGTGCATTGGAAGAAAAGTCAATATTCTAAAATGCATATATTCCTATTCTAGTTATACAATTTGCACGGTTTCTGCAGTATTTACACATAAAAGCTTTTAGGCCCAAGTAGGTTATTTTAAGCAAAATATACACTAATTCCTTCTTGGGCTAATATATATTTTTCTTAAATTGGCCCGCATAAACAATGCCCTCTACGCATAGGATGCTTTGGTTGACTCTTGCTAAAATGACCATGTGCACTCAAGAGCCGACCCCGTTTGCAAGCCACACGTGGTCTATATGAAAGGTCGATCCGTTCTTTTTGCTATATGTTTTTGATAATCGAAGAGCCACCTCATTGTCTGCCTCGACCACGTGTCCTTGCAATTAATATAGCGCATCCCTTCGTTTCCTGACCTCTCATTTCCTTGGGCCATGAACGGGGGTTATTTGTACTTTACCAACATAGTTTCTCTCATTCTCCTCTTCCATGCCTTGTCTTCACCCAATGGCTCATTCTTAGTCAGTTGATGATGGCCTATAAATAATTTTGCTTTAGCTCCCAAGAATCTCCCACTCGGCTCTGTTTGAAACCTTCCGATAGAATACATATATTTAGTATGTACTTAGTGATAATTATATGCAAATCTCCAATAATTATAGGGAGCAATATGAATATTTAACATAGAATCCTAATTAGAAACATATATGTTTTCCTAATTAAATATTAACTAGGGGTTCAAGAAAAAACTCTATATATACAACATTATTTCTCAAAAAAGGAGATGGATCTCAAAGCAATAAAACTTTAAATACTATTAATCTTTCTCTAAAAATAGTCTATAATATCTTTGAAGCTATCAATTGGTGTAGTGAGCGTGAAACACACCTTCCATGAATAAAAGATAAGTCTACTGAACTTACTTTACACATCAAATTTTACATTAAACACTCTCGTATTATCTCTCTATTCTCTATTTTCTCTTTATTTCTCTCCATATTTTTCTATTATTTTATAACACGTCATCAGCACGATTTGTTGTACCTTCGATTTCGTTTTACTGCTTTAATTTTATTCTCTATATTGCTTATAAGTTATAAACTAGGTTTTTCTGTTTTTTGGCCAAAACGATGGCCAGATATTATTTTTCTTTTTATTTGATTATAACATAATTAGTAACACACTTTTATTAATGATTAGCATATTTATTGTTCTTTTAATCATATCTCAATTTATAATTATTTAATAGTTTTATATTCTTACAGTATTGATGCTATTATTTTACCATAATTGTTGCTATTTATCGATATATATAAATTTTCAAATATAATTTGAGCCTTTTCAGTTTTTATAGTATTTTCAGCTAATCTGTGATGTTTGGTGTTCTGCTAAAGTAATTATACTATCATAATTTTATTTTCTATATTTATAATAGATAAGTTTTGTTTATTATTTAATTTTATCAGTGACTTCTCAAATATAGTTACGTGTTACAAATATTATTCGCTAAATTATTGGACCTTGTTAGTATTATTTAACTTTTTAGTTACGTAACTAAATTCTTTATTATGATCTTATTATCCAATAAAATTGTTCTCATGGCTTTTAATATTACAGGTTTTTTTTCTTCCTTTCTATGAAAAACACAGTTTCACTTAACCCTCCTTTGGTTAAGTGAACTCAAAAATAGTCTGTGGGTCCCACATATATTAGTATTATATTGCCTAATTTTGACCAAAATCAAATTAGGGCTCAATTTTGACAAAAAATTGAAAATAGGGTGCTTGAGGGGTTAAGTTGATTTTAGGGTGAAATTGTGACAAGACGCAAAATTGAGGGTATAAATGATGATTTACCCATTTTTTGCCACCAATACTCGTGCTTTATCATGAGTCCTATTATGTTTTCCCAAACTAATGCCCCCAATAGCTCCTCTATATATTTTCGCCATTAGTACCATGGCTTCCTTAGGGTCGATACACAGCAGTAATTTGTTGTTAAAGTTCCTTTTGTAGAGTTGTCCATCTTGTTGCCAATAATAGTAGGTAGATCTTCTAACCTTGTCATCCACATTGGTAAGAGGAGTGAGATAGTCCATGATGTGAAGTCTCCAGTCTTGAGAGAAGTCAATGGCGAAGCACTGATCCATCTAGACTTGATTCTTTAGATCCAGGTTCCCTTGAGTCGGGGTTGAAATACTATGGAGGTTACATAAAATTCTGTTAGATATCCAGAGACATGTCGGACTAGTTGTTTCATATAAAAAAATGCTAACTGCGACCGATTTTTCGATCATGAAATATATATAATGGGTCGCTAAAATAAAATTAGTGTTTGAATAGTGACCGAAGAGAGTAGTTTCAATTTATCTTGTCACTGAGAAATTGACGGCCGAATACAACTTTGGTCGCTAATTAGCGACCAACAGTTTTGTCGCTAATATGGAAATATCAGTTGCTAAATATAATTAGATAAATGTATAGCGTCAGTCGCTATTCTATCACTAAAATGTCTATCGGAATAAATATAATTACTATCGTTGTCATTGATTGATGATTATTCTGTCGCTATTTGTGATTAATTATAGTTAATAATCCGTACCAAAACAGTTGCTAAATATGAATTTTTAAAAAATAAAATTTAAATTATTAAAAAATGAAAAATATGTACATGTTAAAAATACACATATAAGATATATATAAATTAAGCCAATCAATCCACAATATGCTTTTCAAACAAGTGAACAAAAATCTAATAGTTATCGTTAAAGCTTGTTTAAGATATACATGTACTTCATACATTATAAACATTACAAAACTTAGAAAATGATGAAATAGTCAAGGATTTACAGAATTAGAAACATGGGATGGAGAGTTAGAATCCAATATGCCAGAGGCTGGAGGAATAGAATGAGGTGGAGGAGTCAAAGAAGCAAAAGTAGATGCTACAGTAGAAGCTAACGGAGCAGGAACTAGAGAATCAAAAGGAGCTAGCGGAGCAAAAGATCACTATCTAGCATACATCTCCTGTTGATGCAACTTAAGCTATGCAACCTGCTCCAATTGTTGCTTAGGCCGATTTCATAGATCTTGGATCTCTTCCGTAATAGCGTCTAGCTAAATTGGTGTGGGTCTACTGGCTGAGGTCCTAGGTGAGTAGCCTTAGAAAACGGATGACTGTGAACCAGCGCAATACACCTTCTTTTTCTTCTTACCTCTTGCAGCCTCGAGATAAAGCTGCAACGCATTGATGATTGGTTGTTCACCAATCTAAGCTTGAGAAGAAGTCGCATGCTCAAAACCAGCAGTGTAATTATTTTGAAAGTGAACATAAACAATGGGGACAATGCAAAATTGTCCAAAAAATTAAATACAAGTAAATAATTATGAACTTACCCTAACAAGCTCCATGCGCTTGTCCATGAATGTCACTCCATTATGTTTCTTTATGTGTATGTATATGAAGACCTCCATTGTAGGCTAACGACCTAACTCCTTTGCCTGTAGTGCAATTGAGAACACCATATTCATTTAAGAGTAAACTACAATTCTAGAAGTGTAATTAGTTCATCATTTTCTCATTAAACTCAGTTATAAATATGGAACTGTTGATGTGTCGTGACGGGTCAGCTCCCTCGCCACCCGTCTCACTGATTTTGTTACGTGACATGATCTCACATTTTTTTTACATACTCAGGATCAAACCGAGCCTACTGCCATTTAGTTCAGACCTCATTTACTTATTTCCTATCCTCTCCATCTTATATAGGAAGTCAGAGTACTGATTTGCGCACTGTCTCCCAACCCTATTAAACCTAGCCTAAGTAGTATCTGGCTCCATGTAAACTCCAGTAAGAAATAGAAAACAAAATAATTTTATCAATTTTTTTCACAACCGTGCTGAAAGCTTCCAATTTTAAGTTGGAATGTTTACCAGAAACCCATCCTAATATAGCTGCTTTGCATCCGATGCTATGAAACCCAAAACCTGCCTTCTTTAGCCAAATGAAGCTTGAAGACCCTCGTAACAACTTTATATGCATCATATGATGGGTGGAAGCTGTCATATATAATAAAAAAGAAATAAACTTAACTTTAATTCGCATCACAAGTGTCTTTAAAAGTTATAGTTATAAAAATGTCCAAATGCATAAATATATCCCTGTACTTTATGGAAAAAATCTTATGGCACCAAACTTTTGAGTGGCCTATTATGCTCCTGAAGTTACGAATTTTGCTAACGTTGTATCTCTCTCTATACTAGTAATAATATTTTTTTTGGTGTTTTTGACATTTATGTGCAAGATATTCATTTAACATGTGGTTATTATAATTTTTGGAACAAAATTTTTATAATTTTCAACTATTTGATAAGTGTTTGCTTGATCTATTTCAAAATTTTAAGTATTCAATAGAATAATTTTTTACAAGTTGAATTATTTAATCGGTCACAATTTTATAAATTAAA